CCCCAATGCCCCGTGCATAGTGGCGTACAAATATATAGAGTGACACCCCCCCGGTTTGAGATTCCCCCGAGTTACCTCCACAAGCCAGTCTGCTGTTACCCCCTCGCTTCCAAAAGCATGTGCAGCTTCTGAAATTAATTCTGCATTGCTGTCATTACATGCAGCTACTTTGCAGTGAGGAAGCAGAACATGTATTACTATGTGTAATCGGAGCTTCTCAGATAGTGCACACTGATGTCGCATGTGGACTGACTGTCGCAGATGGACTGAAGGTTGGAAGGGAGATGGACATCTCACTGGTGCCTAAGCAGCAGCAGAGCAAACTTCTCAAAAGAGTCCGCAGAAGACAAACAAGAAAACTACACATATTGAGAGTTGAAACAAGCAAACCTTCATAGACATAATTTGTTAACTTAATGCATTCTGACTCACCGGTTTCACTTTGTTCTCTTGATTCTGGGAACAGATGGTTTACAGGTGTACTATCTTTATGTCATAATTCATTACACAGAGTCTTCTTTCTGTTTGCTGGGCTCTTGTGTGACGGTTCACAAGGCCTTGATAGTGTTCTGCACTGGGCACGCTGATTAGTGTCAGCACCTAACCCCAAACTCTTCCTCTGCCAGATTTTATACCACCACATATTTATTCCTATTATATAAATGCAAGCTTCATTCACAGTGCTGGTGCCCAGGTATCACATTTCAGCGTCTCTGCAGCAAGTCAAAGTGCATTGGGTATGATGGAGAAAGCCTGGCCTCTCACTACAACACACCTCATATAAAAAATTATATATAAAGTCAGTCTGTGGCTGGGAGATGGGACGGGGTTTCCTGTGAGCTTGTTTGTGGTAAGACAGCAACACGTTCACTTGGTATGTTACTTGGGTTACACACTTATCTCAAGGGTGCCAGTAAAATTTTCCTGTCTCATACTCCCGTGGATCAGTTTGCCGTTCAGCGATTGGGGTTTCTCCTGGATCCGGGAGGCCTGCACTGCTGATTCTGCTTGTGTTGCTTCATGCAGACGCGTGACTGGAATCTCCCCCATCTGACGGAGCTTCATCCTTTACCCCTGAGGGTGTACCGCCCCTTTAAACTTGTGTTTGGGGATGGGAATGATGCTGTCTTATAGATACTTTGCTCTGGAAAAGTGCTCCTTAATACACGTGAATTTGACCTGTATTTGGGGGAGAAAAGTCACATTTCTTCTAAAATATAAGGTTATCAATTTATTTAACATTGTGTATTTACACAGTGTGTGTGTAATTACGCTCTTACTGGGATTGCTTTTCCATGCCAAAGAATTCCTTATCGCCACGAGCCTTGTCTAATGAACTGTTTCAGCAAACGGAGAATGGTCGGGAGTCCTTATCGCGAGCAGCTGTGTGCAGTGGGTGGTTCTGGCATGATTAGCAGCCCCCGCTAGCATGTTAGCAGCCTGGCAGTCCTAAGATAATACTTAACTACTTGCCTTATTTACAATTTAAAAATCTACACTGCACCCGTCCTAATTTAAAGCTGTGTTTGTTTGTTTCGTCCCCTGTATGATAAGTTGCATTGTTCTGAGGAAGAACAAAAAAGACCTGAGGAGCATCAGGGCTGTTCATAGTCTGAGTGCCCCTGGAAGCTGAATGGAGACCGCCTTCCTCTGATTCAACAAGGCGATCGCTGCACGCAGGTGTTACTCAACCTCCCCAGAATGTTCGTGGTTTGCTTTCAGAGCAGTGGAGTGGATTCCAACCGGCTACCACAGACGGTGGTGGGAAGTGGCTGTAAACGGAAATGTATGCTGTAAAAATAGAAGTGTCTAGGCTGTGAAGAATGGACGCAACTCTGCTGAACGTTCCATTCATCTCCAAAGGGCGTCTTGTCTAGAATGGAGATTTCGTGGCTAACGCTAATCTTAGTGCCTTTGGAGCTAATGCTAATCTTAGCGCGGTTGGGGCAGCGGACCACAGCTGACTGTTCTCTGCTGCAAAAACGTTGGTCCCTCCTGTGCAATGCAATTTATAGCTTAACTGATCCCCCTTAATTAAAGACATGGTTTCCTTCAAGGGCCTTTAAAGTCTAGTGTAGACCACACATTCAGAGCTTTAACTGCACTTGGCATCTGTCATATGTTAAAAGCCAAAACAAATTTGCTGTCAAATCCACTGTAAAATGTAAAGTACTAGTTCTTGATTGATGTTCTAGATTGATTTTTAGTCAAAATTTGAAATTTTCAGGGTGGGTACAGAATTGCCAAAAAGCCAGAAAGGACCCCCATAAAATAATCAATGGCATGGTGCTTGATCAAGATTCATCTGTGATTTTGGACAGCCTGTTAGGTAATATGCCAGTGTTTGTAGAAGTGTATGGTTTTAGAGGACGGTAATGGTGAATCCAAGTACCGATCCGGGTTGGAAGGTGAGCAGAATTGTGTGGTTGCTGGAAGGAACAGAGATTTTAAGAATTTGACTCTAGTGGCAGTTGGTGGACCTGAAGAGCAAGAGATGACTGTTTTGGTGTGTGGGACTCGCTGTGCTGTTGGACAAGACCTTCTCTGTGTGCACTGTAGGTTTTATTACCTTCTGCCAGGTTTCATTCATTCCCGCTTTTCGGTCGGTCAGCACACCATACGGCTGTGTGCCTGTATGGCCATCGCTGTGACCCCTTCAGTTGAAGGTCATGTGCAGGATCTGTGGTCAGGGTCAAGCAATGACATTCGTGTCAGCAGCCATCCTTGTGCATCTGAGTGACACCGTTACACTCTGCGATGCCTGAGAATAAAGTTTCTGCATGAATATTTCCCAGTACCCAATACGAATTTTACAATCACTCTATGTGTATAAAATACTTAAGCACCGCAATAAATAACATGGGAGTGTAGTGATTAAATTACATATATATAGTAGAATGAGCTTCCTAGGATGTTTCGTTTATCGTTTGTTTAAATAAGAATTGTAAGAATGTTTATTATAAACATTATTATATAAAGTAATTCAATGTTTTTTAATCTAGTGGAAGGCACTTGTCATTTAGATATCGTGTTCTTTAATCCAATGGAAGGCACTTAGCTTTCGGATGTCGCGTTCCAGGATATCCCAGCCCGGAAACGTTCCGGTGGGAGGAATACTTGGAAGACACTGGTGGCACTGCTGTTCCAAGTCACGCATTTTCTTTGGTGAGTACTATCTACATAAAAGCAGACTGGAAGTTTCATTTAGAGAGTCCTGTCTATTGATCATAAACCAGGTTCATTTACAGGTTTCCACCTCTATCTGAAAGTAGAGCATTCAAATAAAGCTTCACGTAACCCAAAATGGCGTAAGATGAAAAAGCAATTACCATTAATTCACATGGTAAAAATATTTTGAGCTTTCTCAGACAGAAAAAAATTACCCATCAAATAGCACATACAGTAAAACCTAAAATGGCACTAATGTATAGTAAAAGCATTAATGATAAATACATATGGCCTATATAAAGTTGAAATAATGTATGTACAGTATATTTTCACTTACCAGTATCAATATAGTCATGTGTCTCTCAACGACATGGATATGTTCTAAGAAATGCATCGTTAGGTGCATTTGTTGTCGTGCAAACTTCATAAAGTGTACTTAGTGCGACGCATTACTAAGTCTATGATGTCACAATAGCTACGACTTCGCTAGGCAATAGGGATTTTCCAGCTCCGTCACAATCATAAGGGACTACTATCATATATGTGGTCCACCTTTGACCGAAAAATTGTTTTGCGGCACATGACTGCATATCTATCATTGGCTCGCTGATACACAAATGTAAATGCTGTTTTCCCTCTTCTCCTTTTTTCGCAAAAGCAAAAATGCTTTTCAGACTTCTTTCGGTTAGCGAACGCAGGTGCCGGTGTAGGTCTTTAGTAAAAGCGTAAAGTGAATGTTCGTGGGGGGGGGGGGGGGGGTTAGCTGTACAGATAGAAAATGTGCATAAGAATAGAAATCGTGGTGTGTAGACATGTGACTAAAAGTATGATGTCTGCAGTGAGGTTTAGTCCCAGCCTCTGCTGAGCCCTTTGTCACAGAAAGATGATTGATTAATGGGTCTTATCAGAGAGCCCCCCACAGGTTCCTGCAGAACATGAAGCTGGAGGCAGTGGACAAGCGCAACCCCATGCTGATACGGGTGGCCACGATCGTGGACGCGGAAGACTACAGGGTGAAGGTGAGGGCCGACCACGTCGGGTGCGAACGTGTCACAGGTGCTCGCGATGACCTCGCTTTAATCACAAATGTCCAAAGCAACACTCTGTCATTATCCATCTGCCATAAAGATGGCAATTCCGAGGTGCGAGGCCACGCCTTGAATGGTGCCTGCTTGACTGGCAATTAAATCGGAAGGGTGGCTTCTATCTGAATGTGGGATGGGATGAGAGGCAGGTGCTGAAAGCCAACAATAGGTGTTTCTGCTTAAATATGGCTTTCCCTAGAGCAGGGGTGGGGTGGTCAATCTTATCCGCAAAGGGCCGGTGTGTATGCGGGTTTTTGCTGCAACTCCCTAGTTAGATTACTAATTAGAGGACTGATTGGCTGAAGAGTCCTCACACCTGGGTTTGAACAGCTGACCTACAGGTTATCCCAAATACCTGCATACGCGCCGACCCTTTGCGGATAAGATTGGCCACCCCTGCCCTAGAGCATCCAGTCCCTGTGCATCGGAGGATGATGCTGTGTGCAGCTTGATTCTCGTCTAGGATTCTCGGTCAGCAGCTTCCCCTCATGGCTGTCTTGGTAGTCTTAGAGTTCTTAATTATGATGTGTGTTGTAATAAATGAAGGGAATTGTTGTTGTTTTTAATGTGACGGCCATTCCTGGAGATGCGTTTGGAAACCCTGGAAGCTCTCCTGAGGCTCCTGATCCTGTCCTCTCGCGGTGGCTGGCTTCCCTTCACAGAGGAAGGCCAAACGTGACTGCAGCCAGAAGAGATTTTATGTCACTGCTTTGCCTTGACTGCAAGCAGAAAGACGTGAATATTCTGTAGGCGTGTGAAGTGATCTCGGCTTGATTAATTCCCTCTTGTTTGACCAAGTGGGATTGGCCTTCAGGGGAATTGTTCTAACTGGATTTACATATTGATATGGGATTTATTGATTCGCTCTCCTACTTGCCAGTCGTCTTAATCCAGTGTTTTTCAAATCGGTCCTCAGAGACCCTAGACAGTCCATGTTTTTGCTCCCTCCCAGCTCCCTGCCAGACAGTCCATGTTTTTGCTCCTGACCAGAGGACTGGGTTGAGAGATGCTGTCTTAATCTGATCTGTGCTAGAATGGGATGGGGGCAGGGCAGCAGAGCGTTATTTTTGTGGAGGGAGGGCTTACAGCTGACTAGAGATCTTCTATGCGGGGCAGGACACCCCATCATCACCAGCCAGTGCTCTGGATCCTGGGCGTCATATGCCTGTATTTTGTCTTGCTTGTTGTACCTTGTCCAAAACCCTGCAGGTTCATCTGGCCTGTTTCCCGGAGTTCGAATACGGTGGAACTCAATGGCCGAGTGGCTCATTGTCCTGTAATCACTCAGCCAGCAAGTGCCATTCTAACGAATGATTGTGAATCATGCCATTTCCAGATGGGTTATTGTTATTGTGGATTGTGCTGCACTCATGTTTTATGCGGGCTGCCGTGTTACGACATCAGCAGAACAATGCCGCTGACTTCAAGATTGTATAAGGGTCATAACCAGCTATGCCAGTTAATGGATGTCTGCATTCTCATTTACATTCTTGTGTTAATATATCATTAGTTTTTTATCTTCCACATTTATGTGTGCCATGATGTGTTTAGGGGGAAAAAAATACATTCAGGTGTCTTTGGACGAGGCCCCGCAAGACCTGTTCCTGATTAATGTGTTTTTCTCAGGTTTAATATTTAATGTCAGACACTCCTTTCGCCCGCAGGTATGGGGAAGTGAGCTAACGATCTGAAAGACTCGTTCGCAGTCTTTTAACGAGTGTGTTGCCGTTTGCCCACGCAGGTCCACTTCGACGGCTGGCCTCCCAAGTTTGATTTCTGGGTGGATCCGGACCACCCAGATCTGCACCCCGCTGGGTGGTGTGCACGGACCGGCCACCCCTTGGAGACGCCCCCAAGTAAGCCTGCTGCCCCCGGCGTCTCTCCTCTGCACTTCTTTTTGCGTTTTCATTGGCTGGGTATTTTCCTGCTGTGTTCATCGCTGGTTTCCCAACGCCTGCCAGTTACCTTCACAGATGCTCCTGTGTCCAGCGTTTGACCAGCAGACATCAATAAATGTCACATAAAACACGGAGCTTTGCCCAGGGCCGGATTAAGAGTATTAAGCGCTCCTGGATAACGGCACACATGACGCCACGTCAGAAAGAAATGGAGCTGATTGGTGGCTGACGAAATTCAGAAATACACCTAACATAAGGAAATTATTACTTAGGTGCTTCAGTGAGTGCCATATTAAAAAAAAATATACATAAATATGTATTCATATTAACTATATTAGATTTTTAATTGTATTAACTTGCTATTAATGGGACTGGGGGGCAGACTTGTGGGAGGCTGTTCTGCTTCACACCCCCAGCCAAAATTCCCATATGGTAAAACCGGACCAAGGTTTGCCTGAGCAGAGACACCGAATGACCGCTTCCGTTCTCTCTCTCTAAAGGGAACACTATCCAAAATTATGTTTGATTTAATGAGTGGTGTTTTTAGTGAGAGACCTCCATCCATGACCTGTTACGACATCTGCAGGACTCAGGGCAGAAGGTCTGAGTAGCAGTGTCGGTGTTTACCAAGGTGATTATATTTACGTGTGTGCTGTGTGCACTGACTGAAACACAGTGACAAGGGATTTTTTTTTTCCTGCTCCGGCGGTCTGGAGAAAATAGCTTGCGAGCATTATAAATGTAAGACAGTGAGCAGACAGATGGGGCTCCACTGGAATCTGACAGTGTTGCAGGTCATTGCATTAACATTGCATAGGTTTACCACACTCCTTTTAGTGTACAAGAACTCGCACGCCCCCTGTCTGTCATTTCAGGAACAATGTTTTGTGTCTCCGCTGAGTTTTAGCTTTTGCTGGTATTTTGTGACAAAATACATATTTAAAATTGTAGTTAAATATAGAAGCGGGGTGACTTTGCCATGCTTCCCGTCGTTTGCCCAACTCCCAGCTTGTCCGTCCTCTTGAAGAGGAGCTCCAGTAAACAGTGTCGGTGTCCACTGCTGCCCCCTGGTGTGTGGGCAGCGCTCTGTCCATCCGGGTCTGGAACCACCTGACGTGAATCACGAGTGTGGCTGTTGCGATGAAAAATATATGCTAATAAAGAATACAGAGTGATTACCTTTAATAACGTAATTTCAACCCCAGGAAGAATGACTAAATTTCGCTTCTACTTAAAGGGGCCCTATTACATTTTTCCATTTTATCCCTTTCCTTCAGTATGTTGTATAACTTTATGTGCATATACAGTAAATGGTCTGCAAAGTTTTAAGGCCCAAAGTATGTGCCAAAGGAAGTAACTCTCATCACAGAATCCACTCTTTTGCTTGAAACACCTCGTTGAAATTTCAGCCGTTATTTCCATGGCATGGTGAGGTCACATCGTAACGTGATCCTTATTGGCCACCTACTTGCAATCTTGGCACACCCTCAGACAATCCACAGCCTGCACAGCAACTACTAAGATGGAGGCCGGGAGTATTCTAGCCATGTGCTCTGCGTGGAGAAGTGCTTTATTATTTGTGGTGTTTAAAACAAACAAGGCAGATATTAGAAGCGTTTAAGTCCGGAGGTGGACTTATGATTACAAGCTGCAATGTTGTGGTCGCATTGCACTGTACGCGTCTGCTAACCGACTAGCAAAATTTCTAATACCCCCGATATTTTTGCGTCAGTAATGCCGAGAACCATATTTCGGCATGTAAACAACCGGACACTAATGAATTGTGCCTAAAAAGAAAGAACACAAAAGAGTTTGCCTAGAGAAAAGCATGCCAATTTACAGTCTAATCAATGTAAACCACCTTCAGTCCTAAACTTCAGATAATTTATCACTTTCAAGCAATACTTTGCTTTAGAAATCACCGTCAAATGCACGGTAGTTTTCACTTTAGTTTTGTGCAGTGTTGCGACGGCCATGAAATTTCCTGCCAAAACAACTCTGCATAATGCAGGGATATGTTTTGTGTGCGTTTACAGTTTATTTGCATATGTGTGGTCTGCTACTTTGTAAGAATAGCTGTTCAGGAGACAAGGATCTGATTGCAGGCTGCAAGACAGGGGTGGAATGAGTAGGGCATGCTGACCAATTGGAGCACAATGGGTTCATCGGAGGTGGGGCTTAAAGCTGTGACAGAGCATTTCAGATAGAGAATGAATAGAGATGTAAATAATGGTTTTGTAACATTGAAACATGTAAATCTATTTTAGTAGACCCCCAAAAATATAATATGAAAATGAGCTTAATATGGCCCATTTAATGATTTTTCTTCTCTCCTGTGACACAGGTGTCTAATTTGTACATGACATTCTGCTGTTAGTTTGTTCTCACTGTCTGTGTGAACTAATTAGTTTATGACTGTGCAGTTATATGAAGATCTGTTGGCTACAGGGATTCCATGTTTCACAACTTTGCCGGTGTTTAATCGGATTGTCGTTGTCAGTGTTGGTATCTGTCACGAGCACACACACAAACCCTAACCAAAAAGGAGGTTTTTTTTTCTTTTTCCTTGTTCTGGGGGCGTTTTGCTATGCTTTCTCAGAATGAGCCGTAAGATTGACGGATGCTGCTGATTGGGATTGTGTTCAGAGGCGTTTCTAAGGAGTCCTCTGTCCCACGCTGAATGTATCAGGATTTATCTGTACAGACAGCTGAAGCAGCACAGACTCACTCTGTTTTCCACCGACCCCTTGTACACACTGGCTGTTTACTGATCTTTTACCAGCCGCTCGTTAATCATCCCACTCGCAGTCGGTCAGAGTGGGGAATCAGGGTCACTGTATTGACGTGTTATATCTGTTGAAGCCGTGTGTGGATCATTCATTAACTAGTACTGGTGACGCTGGACCTAAATGTGGTGGTTCACTTGTCCCTTTCCACACCTGTAGAGTCTGCAGCTAGTGTGTTGTGTGTGTTCCATTAAACCTCTCTCTTCCTATGTTTCAGGACCCTCTGACCTCAAGCCATCGTCCAATCAGGGAGTGTGCCCGACCCCGGGTTGTCGGGGAGTGGGTCACATCAAAGGGGCGCGGTACACGGGACACCACAGGTTAGTGACGTGCCTCTGTCATTGATGTCAGCCATCCCTGCCCAGTGTCGGGGGTTGTGGGGTCTCTACCCTCCTTTAAGGTGTCCTCACGTGGTGTGTTTGGATCATGTGTTGGGACCCAGGGCCGAGGCCCGGACTGTGGGATTTACACCTAATAGGAGGGGGACGTGCAGCTGGGATCGTGGGGAAAAAGAAAAGCGCCTCAGTGTGGTGGCATGTGAGTGCGCGGAATGTGGTCTGGCCGCCTTCCACAACTTGGTATTTTCTGAATTACACAGGAAGAGCTATTTTTAGCTTGCGGCCATTAACAGTCTACTTGAGGAGAGTTGAGTTACCGATGTGCCTTTCTTTGTGCCGAGATGCACCATCAGCCTGGACGAGTTCCTTTTTCACACACCAATATTATCTGGGATATTTTTGGCGCTTTTCCACTGGCACACAGGAACGGAACCGTACCTGAGCCGTATCACAAAGAGAGACTAGTTACAGCGCAGTTCCACTTAGCTTTTAGCAGCTTTGCTTTGCTGTCTGCTAATCTCCACTAGCTTATCTGTGAGAATCACCATGTTTTGCAAGTTTCAAACCCTGGCGGAATTAGCATTCACTTGTGTAAATTTGCATTCCCAATCCATTCCTTTCAGTTATTCTGTAGTAAGGAGGTTGGAATTTTTCATATAGAATATGCCCTTTTTCCTTCAGAAAATCCATGCCCAGAACACCGCTATCATGATGTGTTTTGACCAATCAGATTGTAGCTTGGTTCGTTCACACTTTCAGCCCTGCTAAGCAGGGCCTCATCAGCGAGGTTACGGCTCAGTTACTTTGCAATGGAAAACCACCGCTTCGAGGTACAGGTCCGGTGTACCTTGGGTATTGGTGGCAGTGGAAAAGCACCATTTGTTAGGGGTGGGTTTTCGTTCATTCTGACCAGCTCTGATTATGAAGTGGTTGTGTGCTGCCCCATATTTAACAATAGACACTTTTTGAAGTAAGACTGGCTTGTAAAATTGGTTATTATTATAAGTACAGTACCAGTCTGGTCAAAAGTCTGAACACACCTATTGAGAATCATTTGTTTTTCAACAAGGTAATGAACCTAAGCAAATCTTGACATTATGTAAGTAATGTATTATGGAACATGGAAAGAGAGAGAATGCTGGGACAGATGACCTGGCTCCAATCCCCCCAACCTGAACCCTACAGAGCTGCTTTGGGATGAGTTGGATCGAAGAGTAAGAGCAAGGTAGCCAACTTGTGCCCAGAGCTTGTGGAATCTCCTTCAGGACTGTAGGAGAAGCATTCCAGGTGGCTACATCTGGAAGCTGGTTGAAAGAACGCCAAGAGTCTGCAATGATCTCTGAATGAAAGATGTCTAAAGTTGGAGAAAATTGTAAAAAGTTGAAAACTTCTGTTTGATATGTATTCCTTCATTGCCTTGAGGTTTTTTACTAGGTGAATAGCATAAAATAGACAAATACATTAAAATTGTGTGTCCAGACTTTTGACTGGTACTGTAATATTTTAATTTGATCATTGTCTTGTCACTTGCTATCAACACCGTACAGATTTCTTTCCCCTGGGGGGAAAAAAGAGACAGATCCCACATAATCAGACACAATACAAAGCTTCTGTCTTAACCTCTGTCTTGCTTGCGATGGCGGTGAAAAGAAAAATCATTAAAAATAATTTCTCTTTCTGTGTTCTATAGAACTGAGCCAAATTAAATATCCAGATGTTAATTATTTACTTTCATTTACACAGATTTACAGTTTGTTACCTAGGCATTGCGCTGACGCTGGTGTCAAGCGCCGAAGAATATTTCATGGCTGACACAAGGATGCCTGCCTTCATTTTCATTTCAGCGCATGGATCTGTGTATTTAGACAGGATTTATAGCGTGTTTGCGGAATGTCAATGGGCTGTGTCTAATAGCTCCTCAGCCGAAGGCGTTTGCCCGCGATTAACTCGCCAGATAATCACGATCGCGGAGGCCTCGCATCAGAAGGGCCTTTCAGATGCCGCAGCACGCGCTGACGGATCACTCTCAGCGCCACCTGCTGTTTCACTTTTTCTCCTGTGGTTTTTCCCCTACAGAGTAGAGAAATCTTCTGTCTCCTGGAACCAAAACACTCCATTTATCGAGAAGATTTGGGGTATTTAGTTGTAATATGAGATCTAGACCCTCTTTAGAGGCATGACGTATCTGATCTATGTAACTCGTGTGCAGTCTGAGTGTAATCTGAATATGTTTTATATCATTGTGCTGTGCCTATCAGAAGGTCTCTGGTTTTGGTGCCGGTGTGAGGTACTTGACCCCTAATAACTACAGGGATTGTCTGTATCAAAAATGTTCATTGCTTTGGATAAAAGTGAGACAAAAGTTAAAATGGAAATATTGATATATCTTTAAAATGAGATTCAGGAATCTATGCCTGATAAGTTAACAGTGAGCCTTGACACTGTAGGTATGAAATGTTCATGTAATTTGCAAGTAATTTGCGGTGTGGCTCCACGTGCTTGTAAGTGATAAACATTAAAGTCTGACCAAATAGCCCAATAGAAGCAGAGACTTATGTTCGTTCTCACATCGGTGCTCTCAGGAATAGAAACGCGGCCGAGGAGCGTGAAAGCAGCCCCAACGTGGTAATTTTAGCGCCACCATCAAGGAATCCAGGCTCCGCGGTCTATTTCTGAACTTCCATCTTTGTCAGCTTATCCCCGCTCAGACTGCGCTCTCCGGGCCACTCGTTTCCAGGACATGCCACGCAGAGCCGCAAACTCACCAGAAGGGGGCGCCGTTGTCTAACCCGGGTGTCTGGTAGGCGAATGGCGGTTAGGCGGAGAGTCACTGCGGAGTGCTTAGGCACCCCCATGTGCACGTGTGCCCCCGGACGCCCTTACGGGCAGGTTTAGGATCACCCACCCAACAGTCGCTCCTCTGCGGCCAGTCTTTGTTCATCTGTCCTTGCGGGAAAAGGATTGACCACTTGAAAACCCCCAGCTATGTCTCAAAGCCATTGCCAAGTGATGTAATTCTCATCGACCTTCCAAGGATAATGAGTCTCTTCACACAGCTGGCGCGCTTTAAACGATATGCTTGTTGTGTTTAGGTAGGAACGGCGCAGATTACCATGGGATTTTAGCAGTCCTGTGACTGTCGTGCAATCCTCAGGAGGCACTCCGTCACATGACCAAAAATATCCGTCTTCTGTTGACAGTTATAAAAGCAAAGGCTGTATATTTTGAGCCAGAGGGAAGAGACCAGCAGATGAGTGGCTGGCGGCCGATTGCTTGCGGCCTGACAGCCTGTGAATGCAGGGCTCACTTCCTGTGATGTCCCGCTGATGTAATCTTTAGGTGCCTCGGTCCTGCTGTCCCATCGGCTCTGTCACTGAGGGGCCTATCGCCGTGTGACGCTCCCGCCACTCTCCTTGGCCTCCCTCCCTTAGTCAAGTCGGCCCCCGCCTCTGCTGGTGGCCATGGTGATCCCGTGGCCTTATCTTAATGTCAGTAATTGGTGGGGGGTCTTTCACATCCGCTGTGTGTGCATGGCTTTGTGTGGGCTGGGGCTTGTGTGAAGTCATCCCTTAGTCCAAAGTGCCCCCCCCCCCTATGCTGACTGCTGGTCTCTGTTTGCAATACACAAGCAGGGTGGGGTGTTCAAAGCTGAATTTATTGACAATACAAAGATATAAATGATAACCAAAGTTTCATGAAATTTATGCAATATTAAACCATAAGTAAACTCAATAATAATGATTTAGGGCAGCTTTTTAAATTTCTTTTCTTTAGTCATGAAATTGCACTTTTATTATAGTTTTTCTGTTGTTGGAATTTGTGCTGTGTTGGCCTGTTCACAGCTGTGTAGGAAAAAGGCTCACTTTATCAATATTTAAGAGTTATTGTTTAAAGATAAATTATAGTAATGATTCCATAAGGTCAGTTACCTCCCAGGGTTCATGGACATGAAGTGAACTGGTAAATCCGTTGATGGATGAGTGGGTGGGTGGATGGATGATCGATGGCTGGAATGATCTTTCTGTAAAATAGTCAAGAATGAATCACAAGAAAGGTCAGCCTCCTGTGTCTAATGATTGGTCTGTGCATTGTAAAGTAGTGTATTGTTGTATTTTCTGGACAAAACAGTATACGGCTGTGAGTGAAACGAAGAATCCTTTTGCGTGTGACACTAAGGTTAAAATAGCACTTTTGCAGATGGGTGCCTGTGGACTGTTTTAAAGGTCATGAACACAGGTACCTGTACACTCTGCAAAGTCGCCCTGGACAGGGCCGAGGTATGAGCAGATCAAAGCCACGGAGAAGGTGATGTCAACTCCCAGCTGCAGCTCGGGAGTGCTGTCATCGCCATGGTGACCGGTCTCCAGTCTTTGGGAGGCTGTGGCAAACTCCAGTCCTGGCAGGATGCCCTGTTTTGACGTGGCCCAGCTTTGTGATTTATGATAATTTGATATTTGCCTGAAAATGATGCCCTAATGCATGATACGTGACAACTGCCCATGGGCACCCTGGAATCTGAATGTGCTCTGTTGTGTGATGTGAGATGACTGTCCGCGAGCACCCCGGAATCTGAATGTGCTGTTTTGTGTGATGCGTGACGATTGTCCGCGAGCACCCCGGAATCTGAATGTGCTCTTCTGTGTGATGCGTGATGATTGCATGCAAGCAACCTGAAATCGGGATGTGGTTGTATTTTACCTGTCAGACTTTTTTTTTTTTTGCCTTTATATCCGTTAGCCGATTGCTCTCCGGATCAGTCTGTGTCCTTCCTCCCGTCTTTCTCCAATTCCTTTGTGTAACGTGACACCCCTCATTCTGATCATGAGGAGTGGTTCATGTTATTTAGTGTCATGCCTTTGGAAATGCGTCATGCCAAAGGAGAACAAGGAGGTGAAGGCAACATGAATGCAGCCCCCCCCAAGACCCCCAAATAAATCTCTATAATGTTCTGATTTGGAGGCCTGTGGCATTTGACAGGGCAGTATTGAGGTACTCCCCATTTCCCAAAGGGTGTTCCAGCTCCACTCCTGGGTCACATGAATAAATCTCTTTGCTTCTGCATTAAGTGTCCATCCCTCCCCCTGGAGTGGGCTACACAGGGAATGGACTACAGTAGATATGATCGCGTCCCCTTTCATCATCATCCCTTTTCATGTTGCTTTGCTTTATTGCCTTTAGGTGAATTAAAGGGACGGACTCACCATGCTTGTAGATTATGACCAGTATAAATCTCCTATGGAGGTTTTTCTTACCTAATTCAGAGCCAGCACCCGCCCCTTGGGCCACTGCCGGACCCAGTGTTGGACTTTTTCTCCATCCGAAAGTAGTTCTGCATGTTTCCACTGCAACAAAACTGGCCCTGAGCCAGAAAAACAGCCCCATTGAAAAGCTGATCTCAGAATTTGGAACCGTAACGCCACAGAAAGTGAGACGAGCTATCGCATGCAAAGCTTCCGCATGTCTGGAAAATTCAGTCCATAACCAGTATATTTTTCTTTTATATCGCCGTTACTGGCAGTGAAACAACCTGCCAGATTATTAGCAAAATAACGTCACATCATATTTCTTTTTTATTCTGTGGAAAATGACATCGATTTGCTGGATTTAATAAATTATAAATGTCACATTTTGAATATATAAAACACTGTGCACTCAAGTGGCAAAGAGATCATGAGGTGGACAGTAAAGTTCAGTTTTTAGCAGACTTTCATTGCACAGTTTTTAAAAGGACAGCAGTAAAACAGCAAGTGAGACAGAGAATCCTTTAAGGAAAAAAGTGGATACCAGGCGATAGGGATGGGGTGCAACAAACTTTTTTTTTTGGTTCGGCAAACCAAAATAAAACAGAAAAGAATAAATTAATTAATTTAAAAAAAAAACTGAATGCATATGAACCTTTACTCTCACTTCCTGCTACGTCACAGTTATGTTCCATTCTTTGAAACCAGTGGAAATGCCTGCAGGTTCTCAATAGGCATTTTGTGAGAACCAGCTGAGCACCAGCACTGGCTCTGTGTTAGTGGAAACAAGGCACCAGTTACTTCGTATCTCCCCCATCAATGCCTCTCTCTTCCTCTTGGACCATGGACACCCTGCCTTCATTACTTAACCTACTACAGTGTAATTTCCTCTATTCCACCTATTGGTTGCCCTGTGGACAGTGGGGGGTGTGAACAGAGTGATGAGCATGACCCAGGTGTTTGACCCAGCCAGCGAAACATGGCTGCTTCCGTGTCCCCTGAGTTCCTGAAGGTTAATGGCTGTGGGGTGAAAGGGGCCCCCAGTGGGGGGAGCTCTGGTCAGACAGTGTGCCTGCTGGGTTGTTTCTGAGGAGGCGGTTACATCTCAGAACTGACTTCTGATTGGTCCTTCGGGGTGAGAAGCTTGTGATGCAGACGTTAACACAAGATGTACTCCTTCCCCATCCCCCCACTTGCAGTGCCTTTGGCTGCCCCTACTCAGAGATCAACATGAAGAAGGAGCTAACCCTGCCAGACCGTTTGGGCAGCGAGAAACAGGCCGTGTCTACGACTGCAGCGACGGCCCAGAAGGCCAAGGGGCCTGGTGGCACGGAGGCAGAAGAGAAACCGCGTGACTACCGCATGGAGACCAGGTGGGAGGAGCCAGCTGACCTGGGGGGAGAGCTCTGTGTAGGCAGGGGTGCTGATCTGCAGGGAGAGCTCTGTCTGAGCGAGGGAGATGGATGGATGGATTGGGTAGCTGGAACCTGTAGTTCAAGTTTCTAGTTACAGGGAGACTGTATTGATTAAAGTAAAGCACATTAATCTACCCATAATTCCACAGTGCTAGTGCTCCCTTTCTGGCAGCCCTCTAGAAACAGGTGTGAGAGAATTCCATCCCCTTTTATGTTTTTGCATTTTTGCTTTTTGTCCCTTTTGGGCAGTAGTAGCCTATTATAATGGTTTTAATTATTTTAATTATGAAGTGTTAGCATCACGCAAAAGGCCCTGAGCTTTTTGCTTCTGTCATAATTACATTAACACGTGTACAGTCAGATGCGTCACAATGATGTTTTCTCCCAGAAATGAAAAGAGACTTGGGTGCCGTGTGTTAAGTGTCCACTCAGTGCTGAAAATCCAGTTGGTGTTTAGCAGGAGAGCAGCCTCGTTTTGCTCTGTCCGCAGCCCAGGCCCAGCCATGCGGGTCCGGAACTGGAAGTGCTGTCATCAGTAATTATTGTGCTCCCTGCTTATACGAGTGGTATTCCCCAAATTCACTGACTGTTTCAGGGACTCCAAGTGTTATTAACTGCAGGGATGTCATGTTATAACAAAATGTGAAATTGTGTGGAATTTTGAAAGCAGCAATAGGTAATATTTCGGTGCTTAAAAATTGCTTTGGACCGACAACACGCATTGTACTTATGTTGTTTCTTGACATTTCTGCCCCTACATCTAAAAATATAGAGCCATGCTATCTAGCTGCGATGCTGCGGGCCGCCTCCGGGGGCGCTACGCGTCATGCCTGCGGCCCCCTGCCCACGCACAGGTGAAGCGGGAGCACGGGGACGAGGCCGCTCAGGAACAGAGACCACTCTCTCCACCCGGAAAGAAGGCCAAGATTCAGGGCAAGTAAGTCAGTGACGCCTCCATTCACGGCCACCAGGGGGCAGACTATTATGTTAGCTGTTGCTTTCGGGTTGCTTGAAGTTCCGTCTTAACCTGGCTGGTAAGCAGCTGTTGTTTCTGTCTGAATTGTTTCTACTCGGACAGCAGAGAGGGAAGATTATACAAATGATTCACTTTTGAGGAGAAGAACTTTTAAATGATGTGTTGGATTCATATATCATAGCATGTGAGCCGTGTTTTATGAAAATGCGCACAGTAGGCTACCTGCACACACTTCCTGGAGGTTTTCTCATGGAGATTGGGCCAGATTCCCTAAGGCCCCGATTTCCCCCACACCCCCCATTTTTAAAAGCCCTGAGCTCTTGATCCTGCTTCTCATCTCGGCTAAGTCAGTCCAGTCTGGTGATGTTCCGCAGCACTAGGCTCCTCCTTGCTACTGCTGACCACCGGCCAAACGTCTCGGCCCTGCACAAGCGTGCGGGTGATGCTTTCCGCGTGCGCTTGGCTTGGAGGCTGAACCCCGGTCTGGAGTCACATCCATCCATCTTCCCACCAGCACTGACATTTGAAGTGGAAGTGACGGGCTGTCACCATGGCGTCACCGACCGGTCGAACGCTCCTGTTCCTGTGCGAATGGGAGGCTGAATTGGCCCCCCAGTGTCATCAAGCTGTCAGCTCGTGTCCGGCTTTAATTTCTGGCTGTCTGGCGTGGTTACGGCGGAGACTGGAGGGGCACTGCACCCTACCAAACGTCTTAATTCGTAACCCAGCTACTCCTTTGAGTCCATATAATTGGTAGTATATTTATTCTGTGTGTGTGTGTGTTATTTTGGTGTTGTAGGGACCATTTTTTTGGTCCCCCCAAGGGGAAATTCAAATTTTATAAAAATCTGTGAATGCAATCAAAAACTCAAAATGCCAGAGGACTTGTATTTTGTTTGGTTACTTATGGTTAAGGTCAGGGGTGGGTAAGGGGTTAAGGTTGTCATTGTTGAGATTAGAGTTTTGCCCTTAGAAATGAATAAAGAGTCCCCACTGAGATCTGAGTACGTGTCTGTGTGTGTGTGTGTGTGTGTGTGTGTGTGTGTGTGTGTGNTGTGTGTGTGTGTGTGTGTGTGTGTGTGTGTGTGTGTGTGTGGATGGATGGATGGATGCAGGGATCAGTTCCCTCCGTAGCTTTGTGGTTGGCACATGAACAGCCCAAAAAGGACTTTCCGGATATTAATATTGCATTGATAATCTGTTTCTTCTTCAAAGGGGCTCAACGGCTATTGGCCGTTCCTAGCGCATTGTTTAACGACACGCCAGCGAAGCCGGCGTTAATTGTTCACTTAATGAAAGGCGCAGTCTGCTGTCAGGCATTTGAATTTCAGAGCGTTACCCCAGGTTGTGCATACATGCGATGAGAGGGGGGATGGAGACGTGTGGCTCGTAGGTTAAGGTTAGCGTTACCTAGCTATTCTCGTGGGTAACCATCGATCATGCTCCCTCCACGGAGATTAAATCCCATCTAGGGCATGTCCTGCGTCCCAGTGAGACACTGCTGGACCGAAACGGTTAATCCCCACTTCACTAAATAATTCTCTCCTCTTTTCACCCTCCCCCCCCACCCCCCACTCAGGATCACTCAGCCGGCAAAGTATCTGAAAATCAAAGAGGAGGAGGAAGATATAGATGTACAGAGTCTGCTCAGAGGTAACTACCTGTCACGGCCGTCTGGCTGGGTACGGTAGCCTGTGTCCACACATTTCGGCTGGCACAGTCTCTGCCTCCCTCTCTGCAACGAAGGCACGCCATTGTTAGACTTAAATATGGAGATTAAGGATATTTTCCTGTATGAATTTGCAGCCCCAAGGGTTCACCAGGCCCCCAAACTTTCCGGAAGTTTGCTCTCAGTTATTTGTAATGTTTTATTTTAGACACTTACTTTGTTCTCCTCTCCATCTGTTGAAAAGAAGTAATATTTCAGGTTTTTTTTATCTAGTGTTTGCTGTGTGTGTGCTGTAAATTAGCTTGGAGCTGAAACAACCCAGGAAGGGAATCTTTTTTGTTTCGCTGTACAGAGGGTTGTGGGCAGTTTCTGTGGTCTGATGGGACACCGGACCGCGTGTAACACCAGCAGCCATTTCCTCCTCTCCCATGTTATGATGGTTTTGTTTTTTTCCCCCCCCCAAAATGAAAATGCTCCCACACCCACATTGGCTCACTGTGTGAGAAGCGGTACAGTCGCCTCTTCTGGACCATCGCATGTATTGTGATTGGTGGCTCTCTGTTAGGCCCGGAGAGAAACATGGGGGAGCACACTGAGCATTAATGTTTAATGTGACTGACCAGCTGAGACCAGTTTATGGAGGAATTACTCAGTGCTGTTCTGCGAAATGAAGGAAAGGGTTGATAAATTCATTTAGAAATAAATCTCTTTTTTTCTCGTTTATGCTCCTATTTACACTGAAAAGTCACACTTTTAGTTAATGGGGGGAAAATATAATCAGTTCCGCCTGACAGATTTTAATATTACTAGTCTGAATCCCAGACTATTATTATTTTTTTAAGAATAAATTATCAGCCTTGCATAAATAACTTCACAAATGAGCAAAACTGTCATTGGTTTCCGTTACACGGTTAAATTTGCATTCTGACTGTTTCTCGTTCCCTTTTCTTGGTCAGGTGTTTTTTATAATCTCTAGCAGCAGTGAATCCCACATTTATACCGGGGGACAAAAAAAATTGATGGATCGGTTTAATCTCCTGTTTGTTTCCATGGAGAATGCTTAACGAAGATAATAGGCTCACTCCGCGTTCAAGTCGTATTGAATTGCAGCTGGAGTGATTCATACAGCAGTCGGCATTATCGCGGTGAAGCGAGATTGGCATTTCTGCATCTCCATGCCAACTATCGGTTGTATTAATGGGGAAATGTGTCCGTTTTTAGACAATATGTCATAAATAACAGCCCCTGATTGTAATCCAGGTAGCCTGAGGTGGCTGGGAGGTCTCTCTCTCTCTCTCCTTAGGACTCCCATCGCTGATTCCTGAGCCCAGACCATCTGCCGTGTTAATGTCACACGTGCTACTCTGCGTAGCATGAATAAGCGCGATTTTTGGCCACTTTTTCCATCAGACGCCATCAGGTTGCTGTAAGATGTGGCTCGTCATTGACTATTTACCAGGGTTGCTGTGATGTGTTTTACATCAAAGCCCTTTGAAGGTTTTAAGCGGTCTCCTTGCTTGCTCCCGTTGCGCTTGGACTTTCCCTAATCCAGCCACTGTCCCCCCCCCCCCCCCCGGGAAGCGAGCTGGTCCTCTGGGGCAGTAAGTGCTGGCAGCTGTCTATCATCTGTCGGACCTAGACGGCACCCCAGCATCAGCGGGTCTGCTTCCCGTGTGCCGGTGCTCTTGGGAACTTCGGATTTACTCGGCCTGCTGTTAGAAAAAAGTATTCAGGAGGAAGATTGTGAGACAGGTAAAATGAGGGGTCACTCGAGGATTTAGGCTCCGTCCGGTCGCCCCTTGCAGGACACGTCACCGATTGTGACCCTTAAGCGCTCAGTCAGCGGCGTGGTCCCTGCGAGCGCTTCGGTCGCCCCGTGAGTCATGATCTGTGTGACACAGACGGCGGAGGCAAACGTAAGTCGACTTGCATGGCTCGTGACGCCCGTGTCCTCTGCCAGGCCCACCTCCCGTCTCCCCGAAACAGGGATCTGCCAGCCTGCCCACCTCGTCTGATGGCAGAGAGGCGGCGTCGGTTTGTCATGAAAGCAATGCAGGAAGGCACGTTAGCAGGTACGCGGGCACAAACGCCTCCCGGTTCCTGGCTGCGATGTCATATACGACGCCGAAAACCGGAACATTAGAGACGCGTCCGGCGGCCCCGCATAGCCTTAGCCGAGGATGCGGGTCTGTTTTTGTCGTAATGCATCAGTTTGCCTCCCCGCTTTGCCCACGTCAAGGCGGGGGGGGGGTCACACGACTCCCACCTCTGCTTATTCCATGTGACACGGAGTATTGAGAGGGGGGAGGTGGGGAAGGAGGAGGGGGGCTGTCACTCGGATCTTTTAAATGGAGCGTTTAAAGTGGGGGCTCAGCATGCTGCCAGTCAGCTGGATCGGCGTGATTGTGCGGCACACCTGCATCAGGCCACGCCCAGGCCATCTGGCCGCCCGCGCCCGCACCCGCACCCCCGCGGCGTGCCGTCAGCCGCTCGCAGTGACCCTCTTATGCCTGCAGAGCCAGGTTGTCAGGTGACTTACGGTTACTCGGCGGCCGTCGTCACGGTGATATTTATAGACTCTGTGTGGCCTTTAGAAATAGGTTTGCATTGCGAGACGAGGGCTTAGCTTCAGGGTGCTGTGTTAGCAACCGGCCCCCTGTGTAATAATATGTCTGTTGCCATAGCAGCCAGAGGGAGCTTTTTTTTTTTTACGAGTCAGACAGTAACTACGGTTGATGAAAGCGCCCCTCACCACCCAGAATGCACCTCCCCTTATGTTTTCCCGCAGTCACATGGTATAGTGGTAGGTGCCACCTGATCAGACCTGCCGCCACCATCCTAAACATTATGTCAGCGGCCTCTTGTGTGGGGATATGATTGAAAAGCTCTAGCGAGAATTAGTGCTAATTTAAAGCCTGGGGGGGGTGGTTGTCTGGGGGTGCTTGAGCACCTGCTTCTTTTGCCCGAACGAATAAAAATGACCCCATATTGAGGTTCTAAGTGCCCCTTCTCCATAACCGACAATCACACAAAATTTACCCTGGAAAGCCACCCCCCCTCCCCAGCCAGCAAATTTTTCCCCTAAACCACAACCCCCTCCGTACAAGCACCTGCCCTTCAAAGTCTGTGCATGATGCTGATTGCTCTGCATGAACACCCTACACTGCGATAATCCCTAATCACTTACCTGTAAAGCAAGTGCAGTGCCTTAAATGACTGTAACAAGTCTGAAGAAGGGGGTGATTGGTATCCTGAGGGTTTAGCCCTGGGTATGCATTGAAAGTGACAGTGGCATATACCATTAAACACTGCTGCTTTACCTATGCTGTAGTTAGGGCTCTTTGGAAAACTTAACATTTCATTTCAAAAGAAGGTGACTACCTTAGAACATTATTATTATTATGATTATTATTATTATTAAAGGAGTTGAAATAACAGGAACATTCTTTACATTAGCTTTGCCAAAACACACCGCTGTGAAGGGGAACATTAAGACTGTTATTTCACATTTTAACTACCAATAAAACACTTTTAGTGCTCCAGGAATCTTTGACAATGAAGGATTGCCCCATTTTTGTCTTAATGATGCCCCATTGTGTCGCCTTAATCTGCTGTAATATCTGCCTGGCTGCTGGAAGGCCAAAGAAAACTGCTCATGAACCTCGTCCTTTGACGAAAGACAAAAACAGAGTTAAGTTACTGTCCTTTACGTCACGTAATCGTGGTGCGGCTACCTGTCTGTCTGGTTTATTTTGGTTCATTTTATATTCTGGAGATTCTGGAGTTATCTGGAAAATGCTAGCATTGCTCACAAAAAAGCCCTTTTGCACAGAGCTATTAAAAAGACGCTTGCCCTGTAGGGTAGAGAGGTCCTTTAACGAAAAGCTCCATCTATTCCTGCAGCAGGAGCTCATAGGTCATTTTTGTTTTTTCATTCCCTGTGAAATTCAGGAGCTTTTGTCAGAGCCTCTTCATATTCCAGTGCCAGCAGCTCGAATCAGCCCTGTGCCCTGCCGATTCAATGGCTAATGCTTTTTAAACTTTAAACTATAACTTACACATGTGAATAGTATGTATAAATATAAAACACAAACTATGAATGCTCAAAAGACTCCTTATTAAACCTGTCTATTAAATCCTGGAAATGGGATTTCTGGGTAAACCAAAGACCATAACGATTAAAAGTGTATGAAAAACATATTTTTGTGTTACTTCAAGCTGTGAGCTGTTAAAGGTTCCAAGTAAAATATACTATAATCACTGATATTAGAATATAATGCTTTTTACCGCTCATTGACTTGTTGCTATAACAACACTGTGATACTATCTTTAGCAGTGGAGGCTAGAGTACATCTGTGATAAACACATCCATCATTAAAAAGATACTGTGTAGTCTTGATGGATGGCGATATTTCACTGGTGTCTACAAATCCCTGTTAAATAGCTGTTTCAATTGTATCTAATTCAGCTTTGAGTATGTAGGGTATCGGAGGTTAAACGTCACCGATGCCGATCATTGTGTGCCACGTTTACATGACTGTAACTGATTTGTCATGCATCGAGCACTAGGGGTGTAAAGATGCATCGTGATGAATCGATTCTTAAGGTTCAATACATCGGTATTTAACATCAGAATTGATCTTTAGGGGGTTCTTTTACTTCGGGTTTGTTTGCTGTCACGTTCACATGCTACAGACGCACAAAGAAGCAGCACCGGCATGTGAATTCCCGAAATGAAGGATTGCAAGGGGAGGCTCATTAATATTCATCAAGGAAGCACTACCTGATGATCTTTGCGCTGCAGTGTTCTTGGGAAACTCGCACCGGTTTTGTAGGGCTGTAACGGTGCATAATATTTTGGTTCGGTACAAACACCGGTTTTGGGTTAACGGTTTAGTGCAATTTCGGTACAGCAAGGGAAAAAGAATTTATTTTGAAATAATTTATTATTAAAGCTGCAAACAAACACAATAAGGAACAGTTG